TGGATACCACCCTAGACCCCCCACCTAGGCATATCAGACCGCAGAAAGACAAGGCTCAGCTCTCACAGCATAGGACTAAGGTGTTCTGTTGAAGGTGTTTCTGTTGAAGGTGTTTAAAACAACGTATTTTATTGAAAAGGTCTGACTGACATCAAGTTCCTGCAGCTCTAATGTTCAAATACGGTACAATGAGGTCGGTCCACCGATATCCGTGTTGAGGGTCTAACATACTCAAGTTTGAGGGTCTACAATGATCATGAAACCATGTTAGACCGTGACCTTTCAGTCCCAGCACCTAGGGGCGCACTGATTCCTGAACCAACTGTGCCGCAGAATGGTGGCCCAAGAGTTCCGGCCCTGCCAAGGGCGACCTGTGGAGTCAACCACATAAACTCAGCCCTCTCAAATGTGAACGCGATGAAGCATGGTGGCTTAGGACCAGACACGGCGCCCTCTTGCTTAACACCTTGGACACCTAATCGACCGTGCCAATGAGCCCATTTTGCTGTGGGAAAATGGCGAATGGAACCCAGTGATTGATGATTGGAGACAACTTTCTAGACAGCTTGACATTGTCATCTTCATTCATCCCATACCTGTTGCAACGCCTATTCCCGTTCCCTTACAGCTGCCAATCCAGATCATTGACGCTGATACTTCTGAATGTTCACTAATGTTCACTCCATCTACTTAACTGTATGCATTTTGATACCGATCAAGAGGAGCTTCAAAGGCTGCGTGACCCACCAACCGATCAACTCATTGCAGATGGGCAAGAGGTGATCGCCAAGGTGACTGGGAAATCCAAAGTTTGCCTTCTGCACTGCCTGTCCAGGATCTGAACATGGATGTCAATGTGACAGCTGTAGTGTTTGTGCCTTGGCATCCTAAAGTAGCTGCCTTTTCAGGACACTTTGGCATGGGTTTCACGGAATGTCATGTGGGGCAGCTTATTGATGGCCATCTTCCAATAGAACGAATACACGACCTACCGCAATGCCTGCCTCTTTTGGCTGCGCTATTGCGCAGCTCTCATGGAAGGTCATGGCTGGTGGTTTTTGGATGATCATCTCCTACCAGCTCAAGTACATCACCTACCGGATGAGAAGAACTGCAATGCCTGTCCTTGTTGGCTAGTATATGATCCACATGAGGAGCGCTACCTGCGACTTGGCTCAAAATGGAGGAATTTCCACCGGCCCTCTCGAGGGACACCATGTTTCAAAGTTTACCTTTTGACAACCCCCAAGGAGCAACTATGGAAAGCAGAGTGGCTACGGATGATGCAGAGCTGGTCCTGGGCTAGCTTGAGCTCTGCTCTCGGCTGGTCATGCGCTGCCTTCTCTGGTTGGTCTGTGGTCCAAGTGGAGGAGCACAACCTCATCCCTGGAAAATGGCGTGGCGTATGGCGATGAAATCGCGCAGAGCGGCTCCACCCAACCTGATCCAGCACCTGATGACTCATGAGGACCTTGGGTCCCGCTCTGAGGCCCTGGCTGGAGAATCCGTCCTCTGATAGACCATGTGCATGCCTTTCCTACTACCGCATGACCTTGCTGAATTTTTTCAGCATTATGAATGCCCTTGCCTTCGGCAATGGGCTATGCTGCACGCGCTGTGGCGAGAGAGTCTTATGGTCATGGCTGCTGAAGTATGCAGCTTGGCTGGCTCCTCGACAATGGCCTAGGACCCCCGCGGTGTGCAGGATGGACTGAAGAAGTCCAGGTCCACGCAAACTTCAACTCCGGAATCCCTCAATAAACAAGGAACGAAAGAAGAAAGAAGGATGATGATGATGACGATGATAATAAATCTTTTTGCTCCTGTGTTTCTTCTTTAAAGAAGAACCCTTCGCTCAGGCGCTGTCGGGAAGAAACTATTTAATTCCCACTCTTCGAGCAATAAACAAGACTATTTCTGCCAGCAAACAGCCACCGTCCTGGTTTCCAAACTGCTGCATGCTTGGATCTGCTGTCCACTCCTGCAAGTATCTGCAAGTTGAGGAGTGGTGCCGAGCACCTACACAGCAGCTGCGAAAATTTGGGTCCTCAGAAATGATGTCCACCTTTGCTGCCTCGCTCTTTCGAAAGAAGCAAGCACACGCACACCTGGCTCAGTCTCATTGTGTCAATCAAACTGTGCCCACTCTTTCAGCAGGAATCACAAATGTATGAATTCGGATCGGTCTACCATGCGTATTAATGTGTAACAAACTTTGCAGGATTGTGTAAATGCTTGGTCTATGCTCCATTCGTCATTGACCTTTGCCTCTCAAGCTAGTCACGCAAACATCTACCTGCGCTGTCGTATTCTTGTCAACGCAAGCGCACTGCAAACCTGGCGCAGCTTGAACTCTCCCTCTCCGTCTTGAAGCCCGGGGAGAGCGTCCTCCGAGAAAATGCCGGTGAAATCCCATTGGGGCACTGATGTAGATTCGCAAAGAAGTCGCAAAGATAAGATAACTTTGATTTAAACAAGAGTCTCGAAGAGATTTGACGAGTTCATTTAAACAGAAAGCTATCAACATGTATGCGGCATGGTGTGTCTTGGTGTTGCCAATTCCACAGTTCCCTGGCCTTCCAAGATCCAACCTTCCACTTTCACTTGGCCGCTCCTTTGAACAAAGAAAGTTGCTCCATAAAGTTGCAAAGCCGCGGGAAAGCAAAGTGCCCCGCACTGCCCACACTGGTGCTCCGCGCTTCTCCAGCTACTTCCGGGGCAAAAATCACCCTGCAGTACACCCGAGCACTCTACATCCAGTTTCTATTCTAAGTCTTCTGCTTTGGCAATTCAAAACCACATTTCGTACCGACATGTGTGTCAGCCACTTGCTTTGGAGTGACACAGTCACTTTGCGCTGAGACACAAACTGTTTCTTCCCTCTGACAGGCTCGTCCTCTCCAGACCGATTGCGCTCATGACGTGGATGCATGTGACAAGCTGCGAGGTCCAGTTCATCTAGTTTTTCACCCAATTAGAGCTTGCAAGGAGGCATTGGACCTCAAACATCTTACTGTATATCAGTTTATGCATGTTTATGCTAAACACTGATGGTCTGCCTCACTAACGAACAAACTGATAACTCCGAAAAGTCCTTGGCAATCTAAACACTTAAGCAGTCCCATCACCCTTGACACTCAAGTCTGGGTTGGGTGGTCATTTTGCAGAAAATGGACTAGGTGATTAGAAATGCTTGGGAATTCACAATTCATCGCCACTGTCGCGGGCAAACTCGTTTCTGCATTCCGGTCGGCAGTGTTGTGTAGGTCTTTGATGGTCTTTGTCCAAGGAGGCGACCCAATTTTAAAGCACAGTGATCAATTGCCAGGACTGACCCTCAAATCATTACAATAAGCCTTGTTTTCTGGAGAATGATAGCTCTTCAATGAAAGCAGAATGAAAAAGGGGAATTCTTGCCTCCCCGTCTTTGGCATCCAGTGATTGGGAGCGAGAGCGAGCTCGATCAAACCTGGCAAACGCGGTATAGCACATCAAACAACGCTGCACATGCGTTTTTCCTACAAATATCTGCAAATGATTGGGGGTCCTTCAGATTTTTCCTATAGCCCGGCGCATTTGGGCACATAATGGCTTGGGCATATCTGCCAACAGGCAATCTGGAATTGGAAACTGCGGATATCTACAAATATCTATGGGTGATGGTTGGAATCCAAAGCTTGCAACGTGGAGCCCTGTGCAGAACGAGGAACACCAACGGAAAGAAACGTCTAGCATGATGTGGCCGACCTAATTTGAGTGCTTGAAGATTGAGCTGTTTCCACTCTGACCATACCAAGCTCTTCGTCGCCCTCGGGATTCACCTGGGGCAGAGTGGCACATCGAGGCCGCCATGCATGGTCACTGGTGGCTGCGAGAGACTGTGAGGCCTTCTTGTCCACCTCCACTGGTGGTTCTAGTCGTGCTTCCTGCAAGGTGCTATGCATTGCGAGCCGAATCGCCATCGATCTCTATCATTCGGCATCTCCTGCTCTGCTCTGCGTCGATCCCTCCTTCGCAAACTCAACGATGGGAACCATTTAGCGGTCTGGTTGTAAGTTGATTATGGTTGGAGGTTGGAACATGTTGGAACATGCTATTGACCCATCGAATGCTGGATCTTTGGAGTCTCTCTCTCGGCAGTCCTCTCTTGGAGAGCGGCCAAATGCTGGCGCAGGGCCTGAGGACATCAAAGCAACCCAGCGGCTTGCCCAAAGCTGTGAAATCTCATGATAAGAACTGCTTGTGGCTTGAAATCGATGTGCAGTAAATGTCCCCTTCCATGTCAGATTTTGTTGGGTTTCTATCTTGTCAACTGGAAAGCAGGGGCAGCTGCCGCTGTTCGGCCGGCATGCCCTCCCAATGCTGAAGCTACAGCCCTCGGTTTCCGAGCTTTCACCACACATAAAGCACAAACCTCAGTTGAACGTCCATGACCTCACCTCGAAACCATTCGCACTTGGTAGCAAAGGCGTCGCCTCAGCCAATTTGTGCAAAGTCCTGGAAGGACTTTGACTATTGTCTATGTGAGTCTATGAAATCTGTGTATATATATATATGTATATATATATGATATGTGTATGTGCTTTTTGTTTTAAAGTGGCTTTAAGCCGCCAGCTGATTGGCAACCAATGCGAGGGCCTTCACAAGCTTTCGTTCAAAGTGTTTCATTTTGGCTTGGTCAGGGAAGCTGAGCCTTGTGGCAAAAGTCGCCATTGTACCGCCTTACCGAAATGCGGATGGTGCCAAGTGGCTTGGGACAAGGTTTCAAAACAACCACAGTTCTCCACAACACAGTACATCAAAAGGCATTCAAAGCTGCAACCAGGAAAGAAATGATGAGGCATGCCAATTCGATCGCCTTCCATTAAAATCACTTTGCAACAAAGCATGAAGGAGACGCAGCCGCATTTCTTGGTACCTCTGTCTCCCGACCAAAACAACGTTGTCTACCTAGATTTGGCAGATGAACAAAAGTGTAAACAACTAAAACCTGTTCTTTTATTCCTTGGGGCTGAGCAACTCTTGAGTATCTACTTGGCTCTTTGGCGGTTTGAAACTGGTAGTCGTTGATCGTCTATGTTCAGCCTTTGGTCTTGATTGGCTCATCATAAAGCAAACAATCCATATCCTGTAATGCTCGCAGTACTTTGTGCGAGATCCTTACAGCTCTGCTTGTGAGAAACGCTCTTCCAAATCTTCCGCCTTCCAAGCAGCCAATACACCGGCAATGCATCAAGCGCAAGGATCCCAATTGAACCTGTCCACGGCCTTGAGGAATCGATCATCCCCCCTTGGCGGACGCCTTCGCTGGCTCCTGCTCCAATTACTCTGCTTCGTATCGTTGAAACCAAGTGCCTGGCCTGTAACGCTGCCCGGTGGAAAACCGGCCTTTCTTGTTAGATCTTCTGTCATTGTTGGATTTTGCTTGACCTGAGTGCAGAAATGCAAGAAACACGTTCCGAGTCCTTCCTGAGGCAGTTTAATTTGCTAGTGCACGTCAGCACGCAAAACAATTGAACTTGTGCACTCTCTGGATCTTCTGCCCTGCAAAGGCCCAGGCCATTCCAAGAACCCCGCTGGCCAAAACTGGCGGAAAGCAAACTGCTCCAAGTAACAATTTGGGCTGCCAGGACCATGAATCTGCTGCACCATCTGTGAAACACAGTTTCAAAACAATTGCTGCATTTGGAAGCCAGCAGAACATGCTTCCAAGCGTAAATGGCAAGCACATTTCGATCTATATTGTAACACACACACATATATATATATATATGGGCGCCCGACGTTTTGGGGGCCCCTTGTGAGGAGCAGCAGCAAGACAGATTTTTTTCTCAGGGTTCTTGCCAGACAATGCTCAGATGGCTTCCTTGATCGCGTTGATGGTCTGCACAATGAGGCGGCTGCAGTCATGACAGTCAGAATGCACCTCCTGCAGGTTCCTCTGCAGGCTCTCGAGGTTGGTCAGGGCCATATTCAACAAGCGCCGCCGCTTGGCGCCCTTGGTGGAGGAACTTGAGGAGGAAGAATCTGATGCAGCACTTTCATCAGACCCGGTTTTCTCGTCAATCTCTTCCTTCAGCTGAATGTCACCGCCACGGACTGGAGACGCAGGTGGAGAAGGAGCAGCCTCAGCACGCCAGGCATCATGGCGTTCAGCCCGAGCAATGTAAATGTTTTCTTCAGGAGAGGCAAGGAGCTTGGCGACCAGCATTTTTTCATCCTCAAGAATGGCTTCGTAGCCTCGGAACTTCTGGTGAACACCTTGCTTGTACAGGCCGTAGACGCAAGAGAGTAAACACTTTTTGAGCAGCAATGCTAAGAGAACGCTGACCACATACAGTTTATAAACCAGCAGCAAAGTTTATAAACTCATGGTGAACATCAAACAAACAAAGAATCAGGATCACGAGGAAATCGTGAAAGCATGAACACATTAACAAAAAGGGTAAAGGGGGGGGGGACGGAGAGGCCGCCCTTAAGGGGGAGGGGGGGGTGCGCCAAATAGTCTTGACATTGTTTCAAAACTCGGAAAGGAAGCCCAACTCCAAAGAGTCCTTGCCCCCCCTCCCCCCCTGCCTTCAACATACCTCAAGACCATCCAAAGAGTCCTCTGCCCCCCCCCTCCCCCCCCTCCCTCAACATACCTCAAGACCATAGAAAGAGAGAGAGAGAGAGAGAGAGAGAAAGAAAGAGAGTTGTTGAGTTGTTGGCCACGGGTTTGTTTCCATGCCGTAATGCACTCACAGACAGACAGACAGAAGGGCAGAAGGGAACACACGGTCAAGGTGTGGTATAAATAATGGAATTCATGTTGCTGCCTCGGTGTTGGAGAAGTGAGGTACAGATGATGGAACTCAGGTCGGTCATCATGTATTAGAGACATTGAAGTTAGTGAGCTACAAGCAGATGAAACGTATCCATGTACCAGAATTGCATGACAGATATGTGTGGCATGACAAACATATCTATATATATATATATGGGCTCGGACTTATCTAAGTATGCGAAGATATGGTGTATAAACTATAAGGCTAGTTTATAAACCATACTTGGAAATAATGATTGCGGTATCGCTTTTTAACCATACGATTTTTTAAACTGGTGAACATGTATTTTAGACTACCTCCGGCAAGGTTTTCGCCAGCCCGGCCCGACCCCTTAAACATACGGAATGAATATACGGGGCGATTTAAACATACGGTCGGCTTACATATGTGCGGCGGCATTTATTTGGCACTGAGCTCAAACGCACCATCTATTATGTGGAGGCCCTATCTCGTTTAGACTACTTAAGTAGAAAAGGTCATGTCATGTCACAGTATCTTGCTCAGACTACTTTAGTAAACTTTAGTAGCAATTAACACTATCTCGCTCGGACAACTTTAGCATCAAACAAAAGAATCTTGTTTATGTGGGGGCCTATCTCACACTGATGACAGACAAGCAAATAGAGCATGCCCCAGACTAGGCTTACAAACACTACGTATTTGCTCACATGGACTTGTCTGTGCACGTCATTCTTGCACGTGGGCCCCATGCACCGTTCCAAATTTACCGGTTGATCCCCCCAAAGGGAATCCGCTGCCACAGCGGTGGCGCAGGTCGCCGCACCTGCCAGGCAGGTCAACAACTCAGGCTTTAGGGCCTGAAGCGGCATTGGTGGAACCTTGGTCCTGTCCCTTGTGGCTTTTCTCAGTCAGTGATGGCCTCCACCCTACTGGCCTCAGACTGCCTCCACCCTTTGGTGGTCACAGTGACCTTGGTGGTCTTGGTGGTGCGGACTGGGTGTCTAGGTGGTCTTGGTGGTCCCAGAGATTTTGGTGGTCTTGGTGGTCCAAATGGTCTGGTGTAAAATCAAGAATATCAAATCCACAAATACACACCCGGAAAAACTCCACCACAGGCATATCTCCTGTCGCTGCTTCCACCAACAGCCTTCCGTAACCCCTCATTGGCCAAGTCGGAGGCCCTCTCTCTCTCTCTCTATATCTCTCTCTCACTCTCTCTCTCTCTGTCTCTCTCTCTGTCTCTCTCCTTCTCTCTCGCGCTCGCTCGCTCGCTCGTCTGGCTCAAAAAGAATATATCGAGCGACCTGCTGTTGAACGATCAACTGGACTGGAATCTTCAGCTTCCTCATCTTCGGCCACCAGCGTCGTCCAGCAGCACAGGCCGAGCCGACGATGGTCGAAATCCCCATTAAAATCAAGGGTGAGAGGTTGGGGCGAACAGTTTGTAAGGGGGCCAGGTTCGGAGTCTTCCAAAATGCTCTGACCCAAGCTGCTTTTCCATCTACAAAATGGCATGTACCAGAGCTACCAGAGTGGGCTTGTGCAACATGATGATGCCTCAAGATCACTGTCTGACACTGGCAAGCGCATAGCCAGCCATACAACAAAGTGATTTCTCTGCAGAAAAATCGGCTTCTATAGGTGCCAAAAGCTGCCTCGTTACAACATGGCCCTCTGTAAGGGCCTCGAGCTCTCCCTTTTCATAAGAAATAAGTGTCAAGAGGGATTACATTATATATAAATATACGGGGGGGAACAAGTATTTTATACTACCTCCGGGGCCGATTGCTCTGGCCCGGCCAGACCCTTTAAATATACGGTGGGAACAGGTATTTTATACTACCTCCGGAGCCGATTGCTCTGGCCAGGCCACCATATAGTTAAAAAGCGTTACCGTATCTTATCTCACAGGGGGCCCCCAAATCGTCACGAGCCCATATATATGTATATGTATGTATAAATACATGTGTGGATATATATAATATATATATATGTGGGCACAAATGGCAATCCGCCATTCCCAACTTCCCTGATTTGTTCCAAAGCAGGGGTTCTTACTTCAAGTATAGGAAGAGGAATGTGAGCTCTGGAGCTTGAGTTCTGGTTCTGCTGCAGGGTGCTGCCATAAATGTGTATGGCCGTGTGCATTGGAGCCGTGCAGCGGTGCTGCTGCTAGATGTCTGAGCCTGGGTCCTATCTGGAGTCTATGCTGGGGTTTATGTAGTACGTCCTTTCTCCTAGTAGTAAGGCCAGGAGCCCCTAGTAGCGTCCTTGTTCCTAGTAGCGATGCCCTTTGCTCCTAGTCGCTTCTTGTTACTACTTTGTACGCTTCGTGTCTCGCAGTCTCAATATTTACGCATCGTGGATTTCGCAAAGGCGCCCATCCAAGCAGCCCGCAGCCCCCCGAGCCCTCAATCCGTGCAACTGCACGAACTGCGCAGTTTGAGCCAAGTCTAGGCTTAGATGAGGTGGTGTAAGAGCACCGCTGGGATCCAACCTTGAACATGATGCCGAAAATCTAGAATAGTGATCTCCAACTACAATAATTTGGATTAACTTGGGGCAAGAACTTTGGATTGCTTGAGTATGAGGCGAAAGAGGCGAAACGCACGCCATGGGCTACAAACGAACATGAGCCACGGAAGCCAAAAACACCACTGAAAGAAACAGGAAGTGGACCATCGTAGAATCGATTAGAATCGTGCACACGCTGCAGAATCAATACTGGGTCGGCGGCATGCGAGTCACGGCAATTCGCCAATATTGCAACCACATGATTCACATGATCCAAATAGTTTTGAATCCAGCAGAGTCTCGCACCTCTTCTTCTTTGGCTCGAGCCAGCTCAACGCTCTAGCCTAAGTGATCGACGTCGAACGCTTTGGCTCACACAGTGTCCTACATGTCCTAAGCCTTGCCTGCTCGCTGTATGGCCATTCTTTTAGCCATTCCTGGTACCTCGGACTCCAAACACGGAAGCTCTTGAGCTTGCCTGACTCGCCTGTTCATCCTCTTACATGTCACCACACGGTCGTTACCTTGATGCAGCCCGGCTTTTGACTACGTACATCTGGATACCGTAATCTTTTTGCATCCTTTGCCGCCAGGAGTTCATATTGTTCCAAACGAG